TTTATTGCTATCATATTTCTTCACGACACTCTGCAGTCATGATTTCTGTTGAGCTAAAAACGTGCATGATTAATAGAGACATCAAGTCCTCACATCACAAATAGTGTGCTCGGTATGTATATCTGAACAGATTTATGTGTGTAAACAAGACATGTTTGAAATGTAATAGTGAAAATTGTATAACATTCATCATTAAGCTGTAATAAGATATGAAAGTAATGGTCATTTGTAGACTTTAAAGCTCTAAAAACTTTAATTCTGCAATTCCTTTCTCAACAAGTAATTCAGGCAAATGTCTAGAATTTCAATGATAACTTGAATATTTTTTTTTTAATTTTCATTCACGTCATTAAATAAATGTTCATTTGGTCTAATGTACATTTCAACACTCTATGAGACATGTACTGGAGGGCCGTACTCTCGCAAATTCATGTGAACGTAGTCAATTTTTATATAAATGATGCCAAACTATTATATTGTTTGACCTTTATTCAGAATATTCATACAGGCCTGTGCATTAAAATGCAAGGGAGCTCAGGGGTATATATACAACGGCATTCTTTAGAATAAGCCGGTTTATAAGGGTGACCTACACTGTAACCATGCATTTCCTATTAAGACGTGATGTGTCCACCATAAGCCTGTGTTAATCATGAGAAAAGCGTTGTGGTAGTTTGAAAGCATCAATACCATACTTACTGCTTACAATTTCTACACAAAAAGTCATACTCAGACCATCCTACTAGCATGTAGACATTCCTAATTGTGCTAGTTCTCAAGCCTTAATATAACTATGTTCTGTTGCTGTGACAGACCAGTTTTTAGTGTAGTAGAGCTGCCTGCTTTTGCTGAAGGCCTTTTAATCAGGTTAGCCCTTCCCTTCTGCTATGCATGCGCACTCTTGTCCTCTTGCAGAGTATTATCTAGGATTACCTTCGTGCATGTGTGTGGAACCTCATGCTAATGTGAAGACCATCTTAATTAATTTTAAGTTAAGTTGTTAAATTCAAATTGTTTATATTCTGAAAATATAATATGAGCTCCAAACTATCTAACTGAATATCAGTACTTTTATTGCAAATTCCATACATATTATCCATTTATAAGCAAGGAAGCAAAGAGAAGTAACTGAAACATGTTACTCATAGTGTAAATAATGTGGTTCGCTTCCCTTTTATAAATTATATAAAGATAAATAACAACACATATGATATTTGATGCATAATCTAATGCTCAAAATTACAAGTAGTTTCAACCAATGTCAGTAAAATTCTTACATACACAAACTCAATCTAAATTACCAGATAATCCTTTTACCAATCAATGAGTTGCATAATTAGAGCTCTATAGTACAGAGTGGCACCAACTTAACAGACTTACTAAATGTCACCTATGCTTGTCTATTTTACATGTTGACAACAGGGGCCTTATGGGGAGATCTATGTTTTTTAATTCTTTTAAATGAGATCTAAGGGAATAAGTCACAGAGTTTTTGTGTGGAGCAAAGGGCTATAGCTTAAAAGTTACGAAGTAAATAATTATGATTCTTGTGTAGTGCAATTCTTTTCATGTCAATATCTTAAATACATGTTCAGTAATCAGCTACATTAAAGTTTTTGCATGCATCAATGATAATGATCCAGTGATCACAGAGCTTGAAAAATAGTATAACAAAAGGTATATTTTAGGAACTTATTCTTTATTAGATGAATGGTCAAGACATTTTTTGAAAATGTTCAAAATATTGTGATATATGTACAAGCCAAGTTATTTTTCATGTAATAAAAGAGGCATAACTCTAGAAAAACTGATCAGTGAGTTATGTCACTTGTCCTCCTACGCAAATATGCCAAGAATGAGTACACTACATGTATCTATGATAGTTTTAAAAACATTATAAAATATCTATTTTTACCCAAAAGGGGCATAACTCTGACAGGGTTGCCAGCACTTTGGTGAAATAAAATTCCCTGACTTTTCCCTGACTTTTCACTGACCAATTCATGTTTTTCACTGACCAAAATCGTCAAACACATAAATGGCCCCCTGACCTCCCCTATAGCTGTCCAATCCTCCCATTATATTTTTGCATGTAAACTTGTATTTATTTTCCAAAATATAAAACATTTACATCAAAGTAATGATTCAAACATTGTGTTCTACTATTCTTAACTATTTCTATTCAAACGCAGTGTGACTTTTGGTCAGTGAAACATATGACATGAAAATCAGAAGAATCATAATGTAAGCATCTGTATTAGAAATCACATAAGTCACTCTTTCCTTCCTAGTAGTAACACATAAAACACCAAGAATATAAGAGTAATACTTGTATGACAAAACTTAAAATTCAAACATCTCTAAACTATAAGAACAATAAACATTTAACACAGTTACTTGTATAAGGCATCATGATAAACTCCACTGATTGTGAAAACAAGAACATAGGACATTTTGGCATATCATGAAATAATCACTATAAAATTAAAGACTTTGAATGAGTGAAGTAAGTTAGTGTGAAAAAAGTTAGTGTGAAAAACATAGCATTGCATAATTTAACCAGTTTCCATCATGTTTGCAAGGCAAATCCTCTTGTACAATTTCTTAGTGTCAAAGCAAAAAGCAAAGTTCTAAGGGCTTTTTATTACTAACAAAATCTAGTCAGTATACATGTATACCAAACTACAATATTGGCATATAACCTGCTTTGCTTTTTGCTTTGACACTAAGAAATTGTACAAGAGGATTTGTCTTGCAAACATGATGGAAACTGGTTAAATTATGCAACAGAAATTACATATTAGTCAGCTCTGGAGGCAAGGGCTGCAAAGCTTTTCAGTCTTTAGGTTGAATGATGTTCTAAGGTAAATAATGGGTATTATAATCACTAAGTTAACATAAAATGCTTCTTAATATCACAGTTTACTGTTATTTGAATTTAATGCTTAACTGTGAGAGTGATAAAGTCAAATATTAAATGCTTAAAGACTGCCATAGCCAAGAAAGACCTTCAATGCGTAAATTTTTCGACCTTTGAAATAATTTTTCCCTGACTTTTCACTGACATTTCAGGATTTTCATTTTTCACTGACTAAATTTCAAAATTCCCTGACAATTCCCTGACCTTGAAAAAATACCCAATTTCCCTGACTTTTCAAGTCCGCTGGCAACCCTGTCTGAATATATATCTTTCAGAAAAATGACACTCTGTCTAACAAGTTTACCTTGTCAAATACTTCTTATGAGTAGATCCAGCTCATTATTTTCAAATAATTCTGCTCATTCCTCAATTTTGGCCTAATTTCAAAGTTAAAAAGGGGCACAACTCCAAAATATATTGCATTCACATTAATGTCCCTTGTCTAACAAATGTTATCAAGTATTTCAAGTTTCCTGTTGATATAGTTTAATAAGCTCAAGTAATAGCATGCAGTAGTGTATAAAACTACATATATTTGCTGTCTAAGTGTTCATATTGATTAAAAATTTTAATTTAAAATGATTACAGAATACCTTGAATGAAAGAAATTTTTCAATATTTTAATGAAAGCAAGTGTGAAATCATTACCACACTTGCTAAAAATAACTGTAATATTTTGTTAGGGAACATTTTATTCTGTTTACGTACAACATTCATGTATATTAAATAACATACATATTATATGTTACAAATATTTTAAGACATGACCCTATGGTTATGAAAACAACTAAATTTTACTGTTTTTAAATTCTTATAAAATATTTCATCAGATATATTTTATACACTTTAAAGTTTTTGCATGACAATGGCTACCCACTGATCATGATAGTTTTACTTTTTCTTCAAAACACAAGAGCTGAAAAATTATCTGTTTTCCCATTTACATGCTTTTAAAGTTAATCAAAATGTGTACAGAATATTAAAATATTACCACATAATATTATAACAAAAATATTTCTTTAACAATTCAACCAATTCAATATAAAACATATAGAAATTATGAAGAAAGAATTCTTCTTATTTTTCTTCATGATTGAAAACATAAGAATAAATTAATTTATAAAAACAAATATGATTAAAAAAATAATTTCTCCCCTAAAATCAACAAAATAATAGAACAGTATAACCCCAAGAATTTACTCATCTAAATCAACAATTTGATGCCTAAAACCCTGAATCTATTATGTTAACCCTTATATTAAATTAACATGTCTATCTTTCAATCTGGACAGACCATTCATCATTTTAGGGGAAATTTTCAATATATGTACTGACTGAATGAACAGTGCAGACCAAGAATCCTCTGCACATTGCAAATTTAGTCACCCCCGAGCAGGAAAAAGGACTATTTCAATAAAACTAGCTTCAACAGGGATAAACATAATACTTTTTTTAACCCATTACTTCATATACACGCCTTTTAACGCCTTTTTCACCCCCCCCCCCTTTTTGTTGTCTCAAATGATGAAAAAATGCCTTATTTAGGCCCCAAACACTTGTTTTTGTTTGAGAAATGTTGTTAAAAAAAGTGACCTCTTTTTTGGCGCGGCCCCCCAACCAAAAGATACATCAGGGGGTTGCCAGAAGGGGGATGTGCCCCCTTCTGTTTGGGGGGGTTTGAAGGGGGGCGGAGTCCCCCTCATCGCCAAGAAAATTTTGGACTTGTGAGAGGCTGTAAATGACCCCAGATTGATCATAAGGTAACGTGTAACCAACGCTGAAAAGCATTTGACTCTATCTCAATCCATTGAGAAGTTGCAGCACTTTGAAATCAATTTTGATGGGAAAAATCAACGCAAAATAGTGATTTTTGGCAATTTTGAGATGTCCCCTCGTTGCCATGGTAACAGAAAATTTAAGCCTGAGCATGTTGTTGCAAGGGCAATGGTCCAGTCAACATTTGTGCCAAGTTTGATTAGTGTTGAAGCAGTTTTTATAGTATTATAGCAATTTGAACTTGTAACGGGAGACTTTTCAATGAAAACAGCCATTTTTCACAAAATGCTCATGAAGCAATGGGTTAAACAACTTTTAACAAAATACTTTCATGAAACAAAATTTAACCATGGTATTATCAAAAATAATTAAAAATTTTATTATTATGCTAATAGACTTACTTCTGAATGAAGATTCCCCCCCCCCCAGCTTATTCATGGGTAGAAACATACTTTTACAGTTACAGCTTTGTAAATAAGCACAACAGGTTGTCAATTCTATTGTGACCAGTCTTGAACCGTGTAGCTACAATGGTAAAAGTTTGTTTGTATTGTGGAAAAACTCACTGAGTTCCAGATCTCATCTTTTTCAAGCATGTTATACCACTATTTACATCTCTTTTTTTCTAATAAAAGCTAGTCACATAAAAATTGCATAAAGTCACTAAAAGTAATAATTATTTCCGAAAATCAATTACTCTGTTGTTATAATGAATCTGAATTTTCATATTATCAAACACCATCATAGATTTTTTTTTTCTTATATGTAATTTCGAACCTTAAACACTTTTTTAAATTTTTCCCTAAATTATTGTGCAATCACAGTCAAGTTCAACTCCTATTTTTAGCTCTCTAAATATATGGCCGGTTTCAAGAGTTGAAGTCAAGACCGTCAAGCTCGTCAATCAGCTCAGTATTAACTTGAGCCTCTATGCTCTGTTGTATAACATCAAAGTGAAGGTCGTATTGTTGGTCGAGACCAAGGTATGAGTCACTCATCAGATATGCTGTATATATCACCCGACCTGTAGTCTCTGGCATGTACACCGATACCTGCACATCTGATTTACCTGAAATAAAAATTTATCTTATATATAATAAAATATTGTTGTAATAAAATTAACCATGAAACAATTATTTAATGAGTACAGAATGTTGTTTTTGTTTTTAAAGGGAAAGACAAGGTTAAAATAAAAACTTGATTTCAGATAAAGAATACTATAAATAATAAGTCTGCAAATTTTCTGCCGCCAAATAATAATATTAAACGAATGATAACAAAATTTAAATCGCTAAATCACCGATTTCTACAAATCGGTAAGCGCGGCCATGTTTGTGTATTGGCCGTATAAAAACAGGTGCGCGTGATGTCATTTCCCCACATCTTTTAGATTCATGATAAATCTAGTTGAATCGTAAGGAAATATTAATATAATAAAGTATTGATCAGACAATTTAATTTTCACAGGAGGTGTAGAGGAGATTTTTTATGGTTCAAAATACGTAACAATATCAATAATAATAATAATAATAATAAATAAAGAAACGTACGGCTAGCCAAAAGTTCTAGCCGTACGTGAGTCACGAACGACTAGCCAGGACACACTGTATTGTCTAGCCGTACGGCAATTTTCAAAATTATATGGAAGTCGAACGTTATAAAATTGTTGATTTTCATGCTTATCATTTGTTGTTTAATTTGTATGAATTATTAAATCATTTTTGTTAATTTTAAGCACATGGATCGAATAAAAAATGATCGGAGTGGAATAAATAAATAAAAAGAACATTGAATGGAAAAAACGGTGAAATGCAAAAATAATTATATAATTTTCTAAAAAATGTAGATAAATATCGAACATAAAAGCACAGTCAATCAATTAATTAGCCTTAATTAAAACCTATCCAGGGACTGACAATAGAATTTTAGAATGCCTTTCACGGAACATGCAAACTTTCCTTGATACAGTACCATCGGTAATTGTCGCAATTATCAAGAGCCTAACAACAATCATTTTCAGTGTTTGTTGTTGTTTTTTTTTTTCATATAAAAGGTGTCGAAAATTAAACTTAATGAAACAAAAAAGGATTATTATCAAAAATTTGTAAACTATTTCAATTGGTGTAAATGCAAGCAAAGGCTATTTTTTCTCGACATCTTGCGATGACAAAGATCGATATATATAGCGATCAAGGCGATTAATCTCTAAAAAGTTAACATCCAAAGACAATTAATGCTGTTTCTTGGTTAAAATTCTCGCTTAAAGTCATAAAATAACATATGCATTTTCGACTTCCATAAAATTTTGAAAAGTGCCGTACGGCTAGCCAATACAGCGTGTCCTTGCTAGTCGTACGTGACTCACGTACGGCTAAAACTTTTGGCTAGCCGTACGGGCCCGTACGCTAGCCACTTCCATTATAAAAACCCTACTAAAACGTGTTCTTATTAGTACATATAATTAATTTTTTGCAGTTTGATGTTGACTTTCAAATTTAAAGGTGTGAACATATGTTATAATTGATGTACACATTTCAAAAATATAAGCAACTGTTTTGAAAAGTAAATTGTTAACATGTCTGTCAACGTATGCTGCTGCGCATCGTAATCGTAGCCTAATATTAACTGCAGGCAAATCATTTTTATTGGCTGCTCAAAAATCTAATTTGCATAATTTATTCACACAATTGCTGGTTCTTACTACTTATGTCTAATACTGCGCATTGTCCATTTTAATTGTTCCTAATTTGCACCAAATGCTCCTATCACACTGTGTACTGACGTTTTTATTGCTCCTTGTATGCCTCTGTGCCGACAGACCTTTTGATCATGCACAATGTTGCCCTAATTGGTAAATCACCCTTGTCAAATATTCTAATGACGAAATAGACATCTATTTTTTTACGCTTCATCAGTGAACTGAATGACCTTAGGGGGAATTCGGTTCCACACCTGTCAAATTGTACTGTAGTAAATTACAGCACGTCATAAAATAGCAACACATTTTTTTCCGTTCCCAATAATCATTTTAAATATTAAGTAGATTTATGATTTTTTGTTTTATTGGATTAAATTTACGGTAGAAGAAATGCGTATCTGTCGGGGAAAGGAATTTGGTAAGTAGATAACGTGGAAAAAAGCTTTGGGGAACTGGATAAACCCGAGAATATGCGTAATTATAGGGGAATGGGCAACCTGTTGCTGTTGGTACCAGTTTTGACTGGGTGCCTAAATAACTTTACGGACAGTTTTGTTTTCATACGATATAAGTCTGGCTGCCGATTTTCCTGCGCCTTTCTCATTTTTAGCGTCAATGGCGGAAAATCGCGTCCTCAGCATATTGGATTTAGTTGATATTTTACCTGAAAAAAAGATATATGACCGGCGATGTACCCTATTTGGACAGCTTGTCTAGCGAAAATTAAGTACAAAATAAAAGGATATATCGTCAATTTGAAGAAGTTTCTCATAGTACCCAAAGTAAATTTATGGTTTATCTTTGAAAATTAAGCAGTCATTGCTTAAATCATGTGGTGGGATCAGCAGCAAGCAAGTATCGGGCAAATGATAATTAATGTCGCGGCGTCTTCAATTAATTAATTAAAGCAATTCAGTTCCATATGATGTTTTCATAAATAATATATAATGTACGCAATTAAATTAATAAGTTCTTCATCAAGATATATTTGAGTTGTACCAGCGTGTACAACTATACCGGAAGTGGGTATAACACGTCACAATCTCGGTCTCGTCTGTCTCGCGAGAATGACAGAACGCCAAAATGGCGGCGCCCATGAACTTATTTCTCAAGTAAAAAATAGTGTCTTTAAACACGAATTTCTCTCTTATAGGGTTGATGTCAATAGGGAAACTGTCATGGTTCCTCTTTTTAAATGATGAATATTTATATTAGACAGACATCAATCCATCCATTCTTATTCCTTTAAGCGAGTGTAGTAATATCGGCCATTTTGTGCAGGGAAGTGGAACCTGCCTGGTAAGAAAGGCACAACTAGGGATGGATGGTACTGATCATTCCTGTGAAGTTTCATTGAAACCTACCAGGGTTTGACTTCTGTAAGCCAAACAAGATTTCACAACATTTTCCGTAATATCTTGGCAGTCAGTCCATGTAACAGACTTTATTGGATCTCTAACCAGAATGTTCCAATTTCTCTTCAAGAAACAGACCACTTATCCCAATCCCATATAAGTTATTTCTAAATCAGCTGTGAGAGACAAATGACCATTAAACTTAATTTCCAAGATCATTTGAAACAGAAAAAAAATATTCCCGCCAGCGGATCAAACCAGTGACCTCTTCATAACAAACCCAATGCTTTCCCTATTTTGCTTAACAGATAGAATAAGTGTCTACACTGCTATGTGACATCTAAGAGAAACTACCCATAATGCAAGTTAAGAAGATGCTAGTAAGAGTTATCTAATTTTTGACTGTTTAAATGATCTTCAGTTTGATAATATTTCTATCATATAGTAATACTGAGCTATTATAAATATATCTAAACAAAAGGTTTCTCATTTCACCAGCAACAGAAGGCAATTGAGGGAGCAATTGCACTGAACATGCTGTGCTGCTTTTTGTTGAACTTTTGTCTTGATGAACTCCTGAACAAAGAAATGGAGGGAAAACGGAGATAAACATTTTTTCTTCAGGAAACCAATGCAACATCCTGGACTTGTACCCACAACACTCACATCCATAGACCCAAAGTGTCTTCATTTCTGACCTGACCAAGTTGACCATTTTTAAATTATCATCAAGAAAAGTAAATACAATCAAGCATTACCTCTGATACAAGGCACACGTTTCAATGCTACCAGATCTCTAGCATCCACATTACCAATGATCAGGAACCAGCCCTCATCTTTGGGTTTTGGAAACCGTGGAGTGTATGCCTTCCTGTCTGTCTTCTGTAATATAATACAAACAAAAAGGTAAGAAATCTCAGAGGTAAAATCCATCTGCTTCCTACTGTTAACTATTACATTATAAAACTCATGTTCCTGCCTTTGCCTTTAATTAGAAAGGCAGAGAGTTGTCCTTTGACTAAAACAGTACCAACATGACAATTACCCTTACCATACAAAATATCATAAATGATCCATCTTTCATTCTTGACAAAACCTTTCATCAATTTTAGTGAAAATTTCATAAAACATGTACCTGGTAAGTAGTACTAAGTACTGACTGAATAGTGTTTGGTGCAGACAATGTTCACATTGCACAGATGTGCTGTCTGATCTTATTCTGTACCAGTCACATCAACTTCCCTTGTATAAATAACCCTATATAAAAATCTACCAAAACTACATGTATTAAAATTGAATGAAAGTTTAAAACAGCCTAGAACCTTCTGGCAATATACATGTAGGGTTGTTCTATCATCACAATAAATAAATTCAAGATATCTGAGTTAGCCCTTACCTTCATTTTATTGATTCTGTTAAGTTGTATTTGTAAAACATATTCCTGGTCCGCATGTACTTGTACCCACTGTCTGTCAGATACTCTTCCTCCTGTATATACAACAATATATAAAACAATATATACAAAATATATACAATGAATATATATATACAATAAAACACCCAGTATAAATATAATAAACAATGTATGTACAAAAATATAACAAATGAATAACAACAAGTTAGTCAATTTTCTGAAAATCATATAGGGGCAAAAATTTAATTCCTCCAAATGAAGCTTCAAGTATAAATGTTCAAGCTTGAAGAAAGAAAATGTTTTAGAAACTGTAAAAAATCATTACTATAACTATAGACCAATATCTGATGTTTTCCATATTTATACCCACAATTCAAATTATTTTTTTGTATCAAATATGTTCATTATCTACCAAACTGTTTCATAAGTGACAGTAATATTTCTTAAACAATTGTTTACTCTTCATCTCTAAATAAAACTCAATACTATATATCAAATTCTTTATTATTGGTTGAATATAAACAATTGACATCTTTACAGTTTGTGTATTTATATTGTAGTGGTGATGTACTATGTACAAATCAAATATCTGTTCTATATTCCTTAAAACAATAAAACAATCCTGCTCTGTTTTTCATATCTATAAATTTTAGTACAAAATGATTTTACTTTAGTACTGCTATTTACAACACTGACTTCAATCAGATCTAAGATCAATGAATGGACATACTTATTAATCAGGCACTTTAATTTCATTGCTGACATTTTTGCCTGTATTCTGAAATTTTAATTTTACTTTTACAATTCAAAGACATTATAATCTAGCCTAAGAATAAATCCACAAACAATACGTCAACAATGACCTTGACTAGAAGTATCTATGGCTCTCTGTTCTTGTTTACCATCACCACCTTCCCACCAACCCTTCACTGTAAACATCATCTCTATCTGTGGTAACTTTGACAATACTTGGAATATCTGTAAATATTCATGCATGATCAACTTTTAACATAATGTTTGAGTTTTGACTTTGTTAAGGGAAGGTTAGATATTTTCATAACATATTTGTAATATTTATAAAGCAGTCAACAGTATAGGGTATTTTCAAACAATATGGATGTACAGGCTGAACTATATATCTCTTTAAATCAGCTTCAGAAAGTAAATTAAGAAAATTGCACTATATGTATTTTTTCCAACTTTATATTTTCTTAATAAAAGGACAAATTTCTTAAACTTTCCAAATATTTTCCCTTAAAACTGCACTCTTAAGCAGAAAGCAACTGGAAAGAAATCTATGTTCAGAAAATATCATAAATTTCTTATAAAACCTTACCAAGTTACTAGTTAAAGCATTAAGAATAAACCATGCATCTTTTATAAAGTCAAACGAAGTTACCAGCCTAGCCTTTGTCTCTTTATATTCAGTTACCTGATCTATATGTTGTTTGTCCATCTCATCTTGTAACATGTCATACAGAACATTATAATGTCCATCACATACTGTCATCAACTCTGGTAATGTTTCTATACGGTGTGTGCCTTCCTTACCTCCCTTCTTAGTTCTATAGATACACAAATAATAATTATACAAGTCAAAGTCACAAAAAATGATAGAAAAAATTTTGATGATTGTCTACAAACTATTAATGCCTTTTTTTTCCCAACCAAGTCATCAAAGAATTTAAATCTGAAAGAACAACAACAGAAAAATTGTTCTCTGTTAATTTTAGAGTATAAGTACATTTTTTGTGTACATGTACTTCCATGAACTTTTAATTTAATTAGAGAATAAAAAAAAAATAAAAATTTTATACTATATATACATTTAATAATGGAATAAACAGTTTATAATACATGTACTTATTTTCATTCCTCTTTTAAATTCACAATTCTTATTAAGAATCAACAATAACTTTAACCTTTCTAACTTACTTTATCATCCTTTATAATAAACAAACAATTACTTTAAATCTTATTTAATATAAGAGACCTGGTGATTTTTTAATTTTTTTTTTCTTTTACATACAGAAACAGTATTGTGGAGAAAATTACAGTAAGCTTTAAGTTTAATCCACTTTATCATGAAATTGTATTAAACTTTATAAAAAATAGATATGAGCCACGTCATGACAAAACCAACATAGTGCGTTTGCGACCAGCATGGATCCAGACCAGCCTGCGCATCCGTAGAGAAACTGTAGAGAAACTGACAGCGAACAGCATGGATCCTGATCAGACTGCGCAGGCTGGTCTGGATCCATGCTGGTCTCAAACCCATTATGTTGGTTTTGTCATGACGCGGCTCATATGTTTAAATCAAACAGCATTAAATTAACTTACTTAAAGCAGTAGATATGATATGGTGTAACATTAGGAAGGGTGAGTAACGAGGAGTCGTGCCACCAGCGACCTTGAACCAACATTTGTACCAGCTGTGTGATACCAAGCGATGCCACCAACCAACCCTGGTCTGCTGCTACGTCCAGCATTGCCTGAAATATATCAATATCAAATATATCTTTATATTGTATAAAACTACATTTTGCATGTCTGAAATCAGCAAAGAAACCTACCTTGTTATGTTACATGACATGGTTTATTGGTTTAAACATACTTCTTTAAGCTCGATTGCTATAACAAGTTTTTGAAACTTATAATAATGACTTTCGAGTCCGCTTCCTGGAACCAACCAGTAGGGCTCGAACCCATGATCCCTGGCTTGAGAGGCAGACATCTTAACCATTAGGCCACCGCTCCCTTTGAACAATTAATGTTTGTAAAATTTCATAAAATATGAGGACATTATAATGTCTGTCACATACTGTCATCAACTCTGGTAATGTTTCTATTATAACGTATTGCAAACTTCTTACCTCCCTTCTTAGTGATAAAGAGATATATCATTGCTATACATAATTAACAATGATTTATCAATTTTTCAATATGGGCAAAACAATTAATCATTTTTTAAGGAAAATTTCAAAATATATATTGACTGAATAGCAGAGCTTGGTCTATGCTGGTCACATGGGTAGAATCTATTCGCTTAGAGTTAATATAGCATTAGCAAACAGACTATTCTACTAAAGAATGTTTTATTATTAAATTTACGTACATTAGTCTTCTGGTAGAGGCATGATTATAACCCCTATAGGACTTTAACGTATTATATCTAAGTTCAGAGGCACAAACCTTATTTACCAAGCATCCTCAAACCTCAATAAATGGCAAAAGTTTATCCGAGAAAAAAATATTTTAAATAATCAGATGTGCTAAAAACAAATCTTTTGAAATCTGGATAAATTTTCCTTACATTTGAAGAAAAATGTACCATTTTATTTTCTGGTACATATTTTGGCTTACACTGACATCATTGCAGAAAAAAAAACTCCAGGCCACCCTGAGATTATAGATTTGAGCGCACATGCAAAGGGAAGATAAATCTCTATAAATTGTAGAAAGTGTCAAAGATTTATCTAACTTGACATCTTTATCTTGTTCCAACAGTTCTTGTAAATGTTTTGATAATATCTTCTGGATTTATGTCATTTCAAAACATTTATCTTAAAACGTTTGGAAAATTGGTAAAGACAAGATTCTTGATGCTTATATCAAATAAGAGTATACCAATTTCTAACCAGATATTTGCCTTTGACTGTATGTATGCTAGAGCTGTATTAACAATCTTACTGTACTATTAACTGATGGCCGCTCAATTTGAAAATGGATATGAGTCTCTTAATAGGTTCAAATTCAAAGTGACATAGGGTGAGAAAAATGTGCAGTCTAACCAGGACTCGAACCAATAAAATAAAATTGGAGCAACAGAATGCTGTTCAGCAGCTTTAACTGACCTATCTGGAGGCAAACACATTTTCCCCCCAAATAGTAAACAGTTCTAAACCATAACATACTCTCCCTGCAATATTGAAAATCGACCTCAAATTTCACAGGGTTACAGAGCAATGTGAATTAAATTCTGAGCTATTTGCAGTCACAGTCCATCACAGGGCGCAAAATGTCACAGGGTGAGAAAATTGTGCAGCCTGACTGGGGCTCGAACCCAGGACTCTCAGAATACTGATTCTTGGCTCTACTGGCTGAACTTAATTTCTGGCCCCTAATACATTTCGTCCCCTATATGGAGAACAGTTCTAAACCATAAAAATCTCCAACAGTTTAAAGTGTTGGTGTCTTGCCTGACAGATTCTTATTGCCTGATCTAACACAGATTTAGTATCAGTGTCTTACCTGACAGATTATTATAATATTGCCTGATCTAACATGTATAAAGTATCAGTGTCTTGCCTGACAGATTCTTATTGCCTGATCTAACACAGATTTAGTATCAGTGTCTTACCTGACAGATTATTATAATATTGCCTGATCTAACACGTATTAAGTATCAGTGTCTTGCCTGACAGATTCTTATTGCCTGATCTAACACAGATTTAGTATCAGTGTCTTACCTGACAGATTATTATAATATTGCCTGATCTAACATGTATAAAGTATCAGTGTCTTACCTGACAGATTCTTATTGCCTGATCTAACAGTTATTAAGTATCAGTGTCTTACCTGACAGATTTTTATTGCCTGACCTAACACTGATTAAGTATCAGTGTCTTACCTGACAGATTCTTATTGCTTGATCTAACACGTATTAAGTATCAGTGTCTTACCCAACAGATTATTATAATATTGCCTGATCTAACACGTATTAAGTATCAGTGTCTTACCTGACAGATTCTTATTGCCTGATCTAACACAGATATAGTATCAGTGTCTTACCCGACAGATTATTATTGCCTGACCTAACACTGATTTAGTATCAGTGTCTTACCTGACAGATTATTATAATATTGCCTGATCTAACACAGATTAAGTATCAGTGTCTTACCTGACAGATTATTATTGCCTGACCTAACACTGATTTAGTATCAATGTCTTACCTGACAGATTCTTATTGCCTGATCTAACACGAATTAAGTATCGGTGTCTTACCTGACAGATTCTTATTGTCTGACCTAACACTGATTTAGTATCAATGTCTTACCTGACAGATTCTTATTGCCTGATCTAACACGAATTAAGTATCGTTGTCTTACCTGACAGATTCTTATTGCCTGACCTAACACTGATTTAGTATCAGTGTCTTACCTGACAGATTCTTATTGCCTGACCTAACACAGATTTAGTATCAGTGTCTTACCTGACAGATTCTTATTGCTTGATCTAACACTGATTTAGTATCAATGTCTTACCTTACAGATTCTTATTGCCTGATCTAACACGTATTTAGTATCAGTGTCTTACCTGACAGATTCTTATTGCCTGATCTAACACAGATTTTGTATCAGTGTTGTAGTCAGTAGACGGGAGGGGTATCTGACCAAAGTGACACTGTAACAATATGTTTGCCTTCGTGTGAGCAGAGTCCATTGTATGTGGATTCACATCAAGTGGCACTTGCTTTGATAAATCACTGAAAATATGGTGTACAAGATTGAAAATAATGATATTGTAAAAGAATAGAATAGCAATTTGGAATCTGAAATACTGAAATAAATACTTCACATAAAATATGTGTACCAAAAATTTGCTAGCCATACTAAACTAATATTGTAAAATTCAAGAAAAGGTAAAATTAAAGCAATGAAATGGCCATCAAAGAGTAACTTAGCTTCTTACTTTACGTAAAAGAGAAATGTGGATCAACATAACAACACAACATATGATACAAACAATAAATTAATACAAATGAGCCGCCTCACGACAAAACCAACATAGTGCGCTTGCGACCAGCATGGATCCAGACCAGCCTGCGCCTCTGCGCAGTCTGATCAGGATCCATGCTGTTCGCTTACCAACTCTATTACAAGTAGAGAAACTGATAGCAAATAGCACGGATCCTGATGCGCAGGCTGGTCTGGATCCATGCTGGTCGCAAGCGCACTATGTTGGTTTTGTCATGACGCGGCTCAAATTACAGATTAAACAATTAACAAATCAGAAATAATTATGTATTAAATACTTTATCAGGCTTATAGAAATGTAGAACACATGGCAAGCTTCCAGAGGGGGAGGGGGGGGAAATGGATCATAACACTTTTTTTATTCCCCTTAATCTGCTTATAATTAATATGTATTGTAATGAACTTGTCCCAACCAGTTTATAAGTGCAAGAAGTTCAAAAATATGTCAACGTCAAAGAGAGTAACCACCAGTACAGAGTCTAGTCAAACTGTTTGGATGATATTTGGACTGGCCAGACTCTAAAATGGTGGCATCTCCCCTATTCTTATCACTAATAGCACGCAAAGGCCTACGCTCCTTTTGCAGCTTAATGAATACACTAGTACTGTTACTTCAAAAGTGAACAGTAGTGGAACATTTGACCGATGCACAGGAGAGTATCAAAGGACTGTGGAATTATGACTAAGGACTCTGATGATCCTTGCCACACTCAATACACCAAAATTTAATGGACTTGTCTACTTTTCAATCTGAACAAAACCATTAAACTATTCATCATTTTTAGGGAACATTTCAAGATATGCACTGACTGAATAGTGAACAGTGCAAACCATGATCAGGTGGCACTACTGTACTGGCTGATCTTGGACTGCACCAGTTGCATGGGTAAAATTAGATGCTGAACAAAACATTAAACAAATTTATCATTTCAAGGGAATATATCAAGATATGCACTGACTGAACAGTGAACAGTGCAGACTATGATCAAACGGAAACTGCATGTTGGCCGATCTTGGACTGCACTTGTTTCATGAAAAGTATTAGGTTCCACCAGCAGTGTTAGGGTTAATCAAACAATATCTGATACATTATACTGACCTATTTATCTGATCTTCATTGTGTCTTACAGGAAGCTCTGCATATTCTGATGCATTCTAAAATATATAATAATTATAAAAATTTATTTAATATGTATATAAAATAATTCCTATGTTGTCACTTTAAATACCTTAGTAATAATTCATTAAAGTACTAATCATTATAACTATGCAAATGCTAATGAAGGAAATGAATATGTGAAATTTGTATGAAATGAATTGTCTTTTATTTTCTTTCTAGCAAAAATGTAAAGGCTAAAACTATGCAAATGGTAATAAAAGTATAAGAATATGTGTACTTTAGAAGTATGCTATGGATTTTCAATATCTCTGTAGCTGAATAAAGTAAAGGGCCATAACTCTAAACTTATCACAATTTTAAAACTTTTTTCAGTTTTCCAGTCTCACCAAAAGAAATCATGGAAATACCAAGGTCATGTTGAGATTTATTTTTACAAACAAACTCAATTTCACACTGATAAAAGGTAATGAATGTAATCTTTTTCTTTTTACAAACAAGATCCGGGCCTTCAAGGTATGTTTTCATATTCCAAAATCAAAGGATTATTCGGTGATACAATCACAATCAGAGGCATAATATTTTACTAATAAAACCTTTAGAACTTCAAGGTTAACACATAACTTACATTTTAGAAATTATCAAACTATCAACCCTTTTTCATCCCTTTGCCTGCTATAATGGAATCATCCTGCTTTGAAATTGGAAAAGTCCATTTGAAGATCAAGGGATGACGGTATTAAAATACAAAAATTTAGCCATCAACAGTATGGAGTGGAGGCTGGAGTGGAGGCTGGACTAAAGCGCTCACCTATGTGGCATGGGCTTATCAGTTTAAGTCCCAGCAGGGTAAGGGTTAAGACTTCTTTAAAGACACATTATGCCTCAGAATCAAATAAAAAAAAATTTTTTTTAGAAGAGGCAAGCATTGCTTTTATAGTTTAAGAGCATGTTAGATGCTAAATGTTTCCTGAAGAAAGTAGCAAAAAATGTCAAATTATTTGTCATAAAAGTAGCAAAATGTAAACATAGTAGTATTTTGATATCCATACAATACCACTTTAACTGTACTAAACAAAAAGGAAACAGAATAAAAAGATGGTTCAGGTAATTTGCTGATATGTAACATTTTGGAAACTATAAAAATACATCAAAAAATAAAAAGACTTTGAGAAATTAAAAGGAAAGCATTTCTGGGGCATAATGGGTCTTTAAACATTCTCTAATTTTTTTAATACAAATATAAAATTTGTTTCGTCTATTTCAATTTTTATCATAATAATAATTCTTGAATCCACTTTTAGCTTTATTCTAACATTATCATTTTTATAATACAAATTATTATGTCTATTTAGATTTTAATCAAAACAATAATTACTTACAATGATAAACATTTTCAAGATGAGATATTTCACAATCAATTAAAATTCGAATTTCTTTTTCCAGTCAGTTGAAATTTACAAGCAAGCATGGCCTTTGCATTAAACTAAAGCAATTTTTACTGTAAATTGGACTTTTTTACTAATCAGAGAGATAAGCAATTTTTATTGTAGAATGGAAATATTTACTAATCCGGAAAATTTTTATTTTACTAATATTTTGCTGATAAGACGGGTGCTAATTTTGACTGCTTATTTTATCAATCAGGTGTAACATTTAAACTAACCACAAATTATTAGAAATTGCATATGCTTACATAACACTTGGCACTAGATCCAGGAGATGATAAAAGTGCATATAAATGCTGACTTTCTCATTGCTACAACAACAAGTCAATTACCAGATCATGAAGCAATCATTTCATTCTTAATTGTAAGAAAAATAAGTGGGCCGGTTCCCAAACATAAATATCTACAGAGGTAAATTGGTGAAATCTTTGACATTAAGAGAAACAAAGAAGAAGTGGTGCAACTCTATCAGAAAACATAGAAAAATGAGTGAGACTACAATAAGTGCACCACACTAAATACTGTATTTTGTTATATATATGGGACAATGCGCTTGAATGATTAAATGCTAAAATATCGCCTTTTTACCCAAAGAAATGAACAAATTAGTCTTTTCACACTGATTTACAATTATATATGTTAATGAATGAAAAATGTAAGAATTGGTGAAAAAAGCGATATTTTTCTATGTGGTGATTATGATTTCTGCAACACTGTAGTGAGTTAAATGTTAGAATTTTTTTTTTTTTTTCATATCAATGATTTTGACTCCAGCAGTTTCTGATAATACCCACAGGTAGTGCTATCTACAGGGTCCCTTAAGCATTCCAAATATCTAACATGTTGGTCATTAATGGAAAGTACTCTGAGAGGGTTAAGTGTGTGTGATGGGAAGAACATAAGAAAATTGACTAACAAAAAATAGAAAATAAGGTAATCCCTTAAAGAGTGCTCACAACAGCAAAAGTGTAAATATTTGAGCCTGTTCATGGACAGTAGTGGTTAGTGCAAGTCACTGTCCACGCCTCCACAGCAATGGCCTCAGTAACATCCACAGATGTGTTCAAATGGCTGTTATCATGAAAAGTGGTCTGTAGTCCCCAAGTAAAAGACCAGCGACTGTGTATTTCTGGAAAATATTTTTGGTGAGCATAACAATGTATCATTTTGTTTTACAGTGAAAAAATAAATGCATACCGCTAGTGTTTCTATCAGATCTGGTATAGACGAATCACTCTGAAGCTCACTTTGAAACATTCGCATTGTGACATGTGTGAGATAGTAATAGGAAGCAATTCTACCCAGTGTCTGTGGAAGTACTGTACAGCCATCCTGAAATATATATATCATCACATTTATATTATCAAACTTGGACCCAATGTCTTGGTTAAATCTCTGTAGTTGATCTACCTTAATGGCTTTCTCTGCAAGTACCCGACAGCTAATCCTGCAAGATTTCTGAATCAGAGGTGTGTGAGACAAAAGCAGTGATCATTAGACACATTGTCAGAAAGAAATCACACCTCATCCAATCAGATCTAACCAGCAATCCCCGGTTCCTGGAACCTAAATAACCAAACATGATCGTAACCCTTTAGAGGGTTTAAAGTCACCATTCCCCAATTTAGAGGCAGACACCTTAACCACATAGCCATTACTCCCCTCTGATAAAAGTTTATATTGTTGGCTCCTTCAATTAAGTAACTATTTTGATATGTGAAATCCCTGAATTTAATTAAAACTTTTTAAACAGGTTGATTCAAAGTCAAAGAAGGATATATCTGTCCATTATATAAATACATTATAAAGCAGGGTAAGAGTTATGTACAGTACATTGTGTGACAATATCGTATGACAATATCGGACCTATCACTGTTATCATACTGAAAACAGTTGTTGCAGGAGGTACAATATGACAATAACCTTTATACAAAAAAGTAACTTTAAAAAGTACACCTTACCTGACATCAAAACTTAATCTATCATTGTTTCAACAGCTTGTAAATACATTGTGTACTTTTATTACCTCAAATTGTGAGGAGCAAAAATTAAATAAGCATTGTACATTAAGTAACAGCTTTAGTAGTCTGATACATGACCTAAAATATTACTAATATCAACAATATATCAACAATATTATCCGGTCTTTGTCAGTCACAGTTAAGGTGCTACATCCATTCATAACTTATATAATTTCAGGTTTAAATTAGTTGTATTTTGTCTTTGTGTGCTGTACGAAGATAACACCAGGAAAAGATATCCTAGTATCCTATAATTGTATTCAAAATAATGAAAGTGCAACATTACAACATTTGTCACATTATTTGCTACTCCATGTCATACACACACTTGTATGAGGTGGGGATTTTGGAGTAATTTTCCTGTCACACTTTTGGAAAAGTAGGCAGGAAAAGTATAAAAGAATATTATGAAACATTACATATAAAAGTTGCTGGATTTGATATTCTGCCATAAGAGTCAGCCAAGTATTTACGATTTTTGTTATCATTTTGTACATCCATTTTAATAGTGAACTTTTCATGCCAAATTAGTTATTTATACAGACAAATAAATTATATTTATAATTGTATCTTAAATAATTGTAGAATAAATTAGTAATATCTGTATAGTAAGTCAAACTGTGTGTTACACTTCACTACCATAGCATCCATCTTCCTTTATACTTAAAACATTATCCAGGATTCAGGCCCTCTCCCTGCATTATATTTAATCATACAACACACAAAAAAGACTTACTTTTCTAAAGGTTAAATATGTTATATTTAGAAAAATAGTTTTATATAATTGTCAAATCAAAAGAATTAAGGAGGAAAATGAAATTTGCCAAAACAATAAGGAAATTACTGATCTGCTAGTCCGCTTTCTTTATTTCAATTAGTAAAGTAGGCAATTTGTTTCCAGAGCTTCTATTTTAGAAACTAACATCACTGATGCATTATGAATCGCTCTCAGGATGCAGTTTTGAAAAAGGCTTATCAGTGATGATGCACTTTTCCAAGATAAAATTACTGAAATTTTAACTTTGAAACAACACGGAATTGTTTTTCCAACAGAAAAACTGAAGGCCACATTAAGTACTTTAATCTAATGATGGATATTTCACCTTACTAAAACTGAAATCTGACTATGATGACTATTGTATGATGATACCAGATGTATATCAGTTATTTTATGATGTATGGGGATGAGTTATAATGTCACCAACTGTTATGTTTCATCTCTAATGGTAACATGTTTCTAATTTACAATAAAGTGAGATCATAACAAAGATTAAAACAAAAATCAACTTTAATGATCATTGTACAAATCGGAGAAAAAAACGTGTTTGTAAACGTGACTAAGTAAGGAGATGTATTTGATCCTTTTTTTTACAGTTATAAAAAGATTGGATAATTTGACCTTTTTGACCTGTTGCCAATATATGTAAATAACCTTTTGTTACCTTCAGTATGACTTTATATTCATGGAAGATTACATTTTTGTACTTTTGTTTGTTTGTTTTGTCCAGCTTTAATGGTGTATTTAAAATCCCTTAAATGTTGAATAGACTGTTCCAAATTCAAAGATGGGCAAATCCAGTTAAGAAATTAAGCAAGTTCAAGGTCAAACCAGTCTAGATCATATCTCTTGTTTCTGATTGGTTAATTATTTGTAAAGATTTTAAAGCTTTATTATCAGACTGGTTTGGCAATAGATATTTTTAACTATTTGTGCTCTAATGGTCTGCTGCTGAGTGCTGAACCCAGGGACTGTGGATTCAAACCCAACTGAGGTCACAACCATGTTTCACAATAATTGACATTAGTACTGGTGAATTCTTGGAAACACCCAAAAGTGATTAAAATAAGTTACCGGTAGAAGAAATAATCAAGCCGAAATAAATATGTTTTAAATTCCTAAATTAAAAGGTACTTTGGTGATCTGACATCGGAAACTTGCTACTCTCAAAATACTTCTGATAAATAGATAAAGTTCAATCATGTTATCAGTTAATTTAATCACAAGAACTCTTTCATCATTAAGGTACCAACTTAAACTTCCCATGTTGCGGTTATGTCCAACCACAATATAAAATCTCCACGAAAGCAATAACTTCCAATCTTTAAAATTTATGTTTAAAAGAAAGCAACAGTTGGCGAAGCATCAACAATCATCAAATTCTTATATTGTATCTACAATAGACTCTAATACAATGAAATACCTTGTTTTCTGTTTATTACTTCTAAAATTACTATCCCAAATATATAGTTTTCACTTTTTAATAGTAAATTTTGTTTATTTGCCATTTGAATGGTGGGTGGTTGTAATAACTTTCTTAGAATTCAGTATCAAAATCTGGAAAAGGGGTGATCCCTCAAAAGCTAAGGGGCTATCCCCTCAAAAGCAAAGGGGGGATCCCACTGTAGCAATATAATCAACAAAATTACATGAAAATTGCAGACTCAGTTTGTGTTTACTCATGAGGGATACTAGTCATGGAATAATGCATCATCCCTTAGTATACACTGCCTGGCATTCCGGTTTAAGCAGTATTCAATCTTCAACACTTAATGTGCTTCAATCAATTATCTCGAAGGTCCAGAACAATCTAACAAGACAAAGCAACTTATTACAGTAGCCAAACAGCACGGTATGGCTAAGCTTGCAGTCTGAGCTCACTGGCTATACTGATAACAGCTCAATTATAACTTACATCTTTGAATAACAATATACAGTTCTATCTTCAAGGCAGGTCAAATCTCCTATAACATTTTAGAAATGCTAGAGCTGATAATGAATTTAGATCAATGGTTAAAATCAGACTTAAACAGAACAGAACAGACAAAAACAAGAGGGCCATGATGGCCCTGAGGTCGCTCACCTGTATATAGGCCCCCCCCCAGCCCCCCCCCCCCCAACGTTGCAGGGCCAATTTAACCAAGGGCTTTTATTTGCACAAACTTGGTAGACACCCATAAGAAGATGTTTCATGCTAAACATCTAAGCTCTAGCCCGTTGGGCTTTTTAAAAGAAGATTTTTTTTAAGTTTTTACTATACACATATAGTTAAAAACAATGACACCCCTGGGGCCGGCCAGTTTTGACCCCAGGGCTTTTATTTGAACAAACTTTGTAGACACTTACTAGAAGATGTTTCATGCTTAATATCTAAACTCTAGCTATTTGGGTTTTTTCAAAGAAGATTTTAAGTTTTTGTTATACACATATAAAGAAAATCAATGACCCCCGGGGCGGGGCCAATTTTGACCCCAGGTATTTTATTTGAACAAACTTTGTAGACACTCACTAAAAGATGTGTCATGCTTAATACCTTAACTCTAGCTATTTGGGTTTTTTCAAAGAAGATTTTTTAAGTTTTTGCTATACACATATAAGGAAAATCAATGACCCCCGGGGCGGTGCCAATTTTGACCCCAGGGCTTTTATTTGAACAAACTTGGTAGACACCTATTAGAACATGTTTGATGCTAAATATTTTAGCCATAGCTCTTTGAGTTCTTTAAAAGAAAGAATTTTTAAGTTTTTACTATATGCATATAGGGAAAATCAATGACCCCCGGGGCGATGCCAAATTTTGACCCCAGGGCTTTTATTTGAACAAACTTGGTAGACACTTATTAGAACATGTTTCATGCTAAATATCTTAGCTCTAACTCTTTTGGTTCTTTAAAAGAAGATTTTTTAAGTTTTTACTATATGCATATAGGGAAAATCAATGACCCCTGGGGCGGGGCCAATTTTGACCCCAGGGCTTTTATTTGAACAAACTTGGTAGACACCTATTAGAACATGTTTGATGCTCAATATCTTAGCCATAGCTCTTTGAGTTCTTTAAAAGAAGATTTTTTAAGTTTTTACTATATGCATATAGGGAAAATCAATGACCCCCTGGGGCGGGGCCAATTTTGACCCCAGGGCTTTTATTTGAACAAACTTGGTAGTACACCCATTAGAACATGTTTCATGCTAAATATCTTAGCTCTAGCTCTTTGGGTTCTTTAAAAGAAGATTTTTTAAGTTTTTACTATATGCATATAGGGAAAATCAATGACCCCCTCGGGGCGGGGCCAATTTTGACCCCAGGGCTTTTATTTGAACAAACTTGGTAGACACTTATTAGAACATGTTTCATGCTAAATATCTTAGCTCTAACTCTTTTGGTTCTTTAAAAGAAGATTTTTTAAGTTTTTACTATATGCATATAGGGAAAATCAATGACCCCCCGGGGCGGGGCCAATTTTGAGCCCAGGGCTTTTATTTGAACAAACTTGGTAGAAACCTATTAGAACATGTTTGATGCTCAATATCTTAGCCATTGCTCTTAGAGTTCTTTAAAAGAAGATTTTTTTTTTTACTATATGCATATAGGGAAAATCAATGACTCCCTGGGGCGGGGCCAATTTTGACCCCAGGGCTTTTATTTGAACAAACTTGGTAGACACTCACTAGAAGATGTTTCATGCCAAATATCTAAGCTCTAGCTCTTATGTTTTTTTAAAAGAAGATATTTAAAGTTTTTTCTTTTGGTTGCCATGGCAACCAGAGTTCTGCATGGAATTAAATTTTTTGAACAATTTTTAAAGGTGACCACCAAAGGAACATTCCTGTGAAGTTTGGATGAAATTGGCTTAGTGGTTTATGAGGAGATGTCATTTAAAGTAAAAGTTTACGGACGCCGGACGGACGGACGACGGACGGACGGACGCCAGACGAAAAGCGATCACAAAAGCTCACCCTGTCACTTTGTGACAGGTGAGCTAAAAAAATCATCTATAATCATTCAAATATTTCAAATATAAGTCTCATTGTATCAAATATTAGTTAAGTACATGGCAGTTTTGTCTCTTAATTTGAAAACAGATTTATTCTCGATCAAACTATGTTCAGTCATTAAAACTATTGTAAATTCCAAAGACCCATGTAAGATTAAAGCATACATTACCTCATCAATTTCTAAACAGTAAGAGCTTTCTAACTCAAACAAGGCTTTCTCCACCAGTCCTGACAGGAACCTGTTAATACTATTATGATCTGTGTCATCTAGGTTGTAGAAACTGAAACAGATAAAGGAGACTGAAATAGATAAAGGATAAAGGAAACTGAAATAGATAAAGGATAAAGGAAACTGAAATAGATAAAGGAAACTGAAATAGATAAAGGAAACTGAAATAGATAAAGAAGACTCAAAAAGATGAAGGAAACTGAAATAGATAAAGAAGGAAACAAATTGTTAATGATATCATTGTCAATTCAGAAAATGTCTTGCAGCAGGCAATTGTAACATAAGTGTCACATACAACTGATTGTAACATAAATGTCACATACAACTGATTGCAGAAGGCAATTGTAACATAAGTGTAACATACAACTGTTTGCAGAAGGCAAATGTAACATAAGTGTAACATACAACTGTTTGCAGAAGGCAATTGTAACATTAGTGTAACATACAACCGATTGCAGTATACAATTGTAACATGGATGTCATATATAATTATTTGCAGCAAGCAAATGTATCATAAGTGTCACATACAACTGTTTGCAGCAGGCAGTTGTCACATACAACTGTTTGCAGCAAACAGTTGTCACATAAGTATAACATACAACTGTTTGCAGAAGGCTTTTGTAACATCAGTGGCACACACAACTGATTGCAGCAGGCAAATGTAACATAAGTGTCACATACAACTGTTTGTAACAGAAGTGTCACACATAACTGATTGCAGCAGTCAATTGTAACATAAGTGTCACATACAACCGATTGCAGTATACAATTGTAACATGGATGTCATATATAATTGTTTGCAGCAAGCAAATGTATCATAAGTGTCACATACAACTGTTTGCAGCAGGCAGTTGTCACATACAACTGTTTGCAGCAAACAGTTGTCACATAAGTATAACATACAACTGTTTGCAGAAGGCTTTTGTAACATCAGTGGCACACACAACTGATTGCAGCAGGCAAATGTAACATAAGTGTCACATACAACTGTTTGTAACAGAAGTGTCACACATAACTGATTGCAGCAGGCAATTGTAACATTACTTTTGTAGCAGGCAAGTGCAACATAAATGTCACATACAACTGATTACAGAAGGCAATTGTAACATACAACTGTTTACAGAAGGCAATAGTAACATAAGTGTCACATACAACTGTTTACAGAAGGCAATAGTAACATACCACTGTTTACAGAAGGCAATAGTAACATAAGTGTCACATACCACTGTTTACAGAAGGCAATAGAAACATAAGTGTCACATACCACTGTTTACAGAAGGCAATAGTAACATAAGTGTCACATACCACTGTTTACAGAAGGCAATAGAAACATAAGTGTCACATACCACTGTTTACAGAAGGCAATAGTAACATAAGTGTCACATAAAACGGTTTACAGAAGGCAATTTGCACCTCAGGCAATTATAACACAGGAGTGTAAGATACAGGCAATTGTAATAGCTTTAAAATACTAATAATAATTTTGTCTTATTAAGCTTCTTTCCTCTTGTTTGGTATTTCGTTAGTTACTAACTGAAAACCCTAAATACATTCATTGGCTGTCCTTAATTTGTTGTTATTCTAAAGCATATACTTGCTTAACTACTACATGTAGTTGTTTTTTGTCCATTAAATAAGACTTTATTATACATCTTTATTTGTACCTTAAACACTAAATACAGTTCCAGGGCAATTAATTTTAGATAAACACTAAAATATATCCCCTTTCAGGCAGACAGATAGACAGACAGATGGTCAGAAAGGCATTCTCCACATGCCTGGTGATTACCACCTTTATTTTCAGTAGAGAAACACGCCTAAAAGATCTGTTATTCTAGGCACCAAATTTCTCTACAGGAAAAACAAAAATGAGCTGATTTTAGAAGCGGGGATTGTATAGTATATAAAACTGGAGTTTTAAAGGATTACGGTAGATTCTATCAGTAATTTTACTAGTACTCTTAACTGAACATGCTTCAATACTTGGCACCAGTCCGTACAGGTAAACTGTTTCAGTGTTTACATTGAGGGATATTTTTACCTGGCAAATTATCATCGATGTTCATGCAACAAATCATAATACGAACAGCTGACTTCGTTGCTAGATTAGATTAACCTTGATTTTCTATTCAGGCTTTTAACTGTTTTACAAACTTTTACAAATTTTATCAATATTTGTAGTGTGAAAAGGACGATGACATAAATAAATGCATAGAGAAACCATGAGGAAAACACCAGCTGGTGCTAATTGCTGATATAAGTTTCTATGCCATATTTCATTTAAAAAAAAAAGATTTAAAAAACGACAATATTCAACAAGATGTTGACCGACTAAAATTATGGAATAAAAACCCCATTCTTTATTGTGAGGCAATAAACAATAGATGTGCAAGAAGCTGACAAAACTATGGAATAAAATCCTTCAAATTTCACAGGTAATACATTTTCTTATAATCGTCCATCAACAGTAGCAAGCCATTGACCATCATTCATTCATTAAACAACATCAAAGATTTCTTCTGGCCCTCATTTTAATTTGGATTTTTTCATCATTTTTCTTTTTTTTTTAACATAATAAAAAGTCAGGTCTTAATCTTCTTAGCAAAACTCAAAGAAAAACAAATTCAGTATAAATAAATACCCTTGTACATTCATTAATTAACATCAAAGATATTCTTGTAGCCCTCATTCAATTTTGAGTTCTAAATAATCAATCATCTTCTTTACTTTTACTTAATAAATAGTCAGATCTTAATTTTCTTAACAACCACAAAAAAAACCCCCAAAAAACAAAATTAATTCAGTTTCCATCAATGATAATAACACAAGCAATTCTGAAGTATTGCATTTATTGACAATTCTTTCTGCAAACTTGCAGAAATTTTTATTGCAAAGAACTGCATCTGCTTTTTGTATTTCCTCCCTTTGATTTGTGCACATATAATAGAACTACTAAAGAATGCTCTGAATTCATTTTCCATAAATTTGCTTTCATAACAAAAAAAAAAGAAAGAATTTTACAACCTTTATAAATTCTTACCCTTATTTTAAATAATGGACTGATCCTGTTTTGAATTTTGGAACAGTCCAATATCATTTTTAGGAATTTCAAGGTAAAGTACAAAATGAAGAGTCTTGTGTCAACCTGACAGACTATCAATTTTTAAAAAAAAATCAATTTTCTGTTACCTTAACAACACAAGTTTTATATAAAAGATAATAGAATGAGACTGTAAACATTTCAATTGTGATAAAAAATACTTTATTTTTGTCACAGTAATTGTAATTGACAATCAAAATCAGGAAATATGCACTTCAAGACAAAGCTAATAAATTAATACACAACATCACATAGTTATGCTTTAAATGCTATATTAAAGGGTCACAACTCTGTAAATTATAATAAACAATTTACTTAGAATGATGCAAATTCTCTTAAACGTATGGTCTACTAATATTAAGATTATTCTGGAATAAAAATTTCTTAAAAATCTTTTCGAGATTTATTATAAAATTTCACAGCAAATAGTGATTTATAGTTTTTTTGAAATAATACTTGTATACAAATTTGTCTCCCTTCATCCTCGTAACTTAAATATTTCTGAAGTTCTGAAATGGGAAGACATGAAAAAGAAATGTTATTTCAAGAACTTTTATCAAGTTCATTTGGTTATCATTTTTAACTGTTTTTATTTAATAAGACTGAATAGTTTTGACAATAATCTAATAATAATACTTTCTCTCAAAGCCTAAACAATATTTATTCCTCTTATATACAAGAGGGCCATGATGGCCCAAAGTCGCTCACCTGTATATAGGCCCCTGGAGCGGGGCCAGTTTTAACCCAGGGCTTTTATTTGAACAAACTTGGTTGTATATGTATGCATGTATATCTATATATATATATATATATATATATATATATATATATATATTATATATATATATATACATATATATACATACATATATATATATATATATATATATATATATATATATATATATAATATATATATATATATATATATACATATACATATACATACATATACATACATACATATATATATATATATCATAACATTTATATATATATATATATATATATATATATATATATATATATATTTATATATATTATATATATATTTATATATAAATATTAAATATATATGTGTATATATATAATATGTATATATCTTAAAAAAAAAAAAAAGTCAAGCTAATGAATGACCCCGGGGCGGGGCCAATTTTGACCCCAGGGCTTTATTTGAACAAACTTAGTAGACACCCATGAGAACATGTTTCATGCTAAATATCTTAGCTCTAGCTCTTTGAGTTCTTTAAAAGAAGATTTTTTAAGTTTTTACTATATGCATATAGGGAAAATCAATGACCCCCGGGGGCGGGGCCAATTTTGACCCTAGGGCTTTTATTTGAACAAACTTTGTAGACACTCATTAGAAGATGTTTCATGCTAAATATCTTAGCTCTAGCTATTTGGGTTCTTTAAAAGAAGATTTTTTAAGTTTTAACTATATGCATATAGGGAAAATCAAAGACACCCTGGGGCGGGGCCAATTTTGACCCTAGGGCTTTTATTTGAACAAACTTTGTAGACACTCACTAGAAGATGTTTCATGCTTAATAGCTAAACTCCAGCTATTTGGGTTTTTTTAAAGAAGATTTTTTAAGTTTTTGCTATACACATATAAGGAAAATCAATGACCCCCGGGGCGGAGCCAATTTTGACCCCAGGGCTTTTATTTGAACAAACTTGGTAGACACCTATTAGAACATGTTTCATGCTAAATATCTTAGCTCTAGCTCTTTGAGTTCTTTAAAAGAAGATTTTTTAAGTTTTTACTATATGCATATAGGGAAAATCAATGACCCCCTGGGGCGGGGCCAATTTTGACCCTAGGGCTTTGATTTGAACAAACTTGGTAGGCACTCATTAGAAGATGTTTCATGCCAAATATCTAAGCTCTAGCTCTTACGGTTTTTTAGAAGAAGATTTTTTAAATTTTTCTTATTGGTTGCCATGGC